ACACACAGGCTAAGTTACAAGTCAGATCTGTGGAGGGAATTCATTTTTTTCAAGGTAGATAAATATACAACTGAATAAAGGCAACGTACATAAATTTGATATCAGAATATTCCAAGCAACGCAACAACATCTCCACAGAGGCAAGCAGAAAAGTTACATAATGTACCTTTAAGTTTGAGGTCAAATTGTATCATATGAAGTATTTTAGTCCACAACTGCACGACTCTTACAGTAGTTATGATATTTACATTTAAAGCAACGTCAGCTCCCAATAACACTGCAGTTTTTTAACACAGATGTCACACGTTTTGTTTCTTTTTTATGAAGTCACTTTAGATGAATATTGTGATTTAAACTGTCCAAACATAATGATCCACTGGTGTCATAGAACTACAAAGCAGACTCAAACACAATACGTCTTCTTTAAAAGTGTTGGCCCTTTTTGACCCTTGTGCCTATATACTGTACAGACTTTATATTTGAAGCCAAACATACTCACATTTCTCCTTTAATCATAATTCATAAAGTTACTCCTTTTTGTTCCAAACGACTGTGCCTTAATCTGCTTGTGCACACAGTTAGCTCTTGAACAAATAATGTTCCAAAATCAAGTCAGGAGGAAACAACAATGAATCAATGATAGCTACCATAACAATTATTAACACATGTCCATTTGTGCACACTTTGTTTTCCACGAGAGACACTGACTGAATCTGAATGTCCATTTGCTGTTTCAAAGTCATTATGTTTGTGGAGAGTAGACTCATATCTGCCTTTAAGAGCCTCAGTCTGACACCTCACAGTGTCACCTGCTGGAATAACAGAGTCGGTCGCTTTCAGAAAAATGTGTTGAAGAGAATCAGAAAAAGAACAATTAAAAACTAAATTTTTATAAAAGTAGAATGTGTTTTTTTTTTCTTTTAAGTAAAGTTGCAATCTCATAAAATGTAAAAGTCATTCAGCTGTGATTCACAAAAGTGTTTTATTACTTCACCACCAAACTACTTAAAATGAACTAAACTAATTCTCATTTAGATGGTTTAATCTTTGGGGGCAGTTTCACGATTTGGATTTTATTGTGATCTTTATATATTTTAAGGATATTTGAGCTAAACATGTAAAATGTGATGTACTTTTAGTCCTTTTTTAGCTGTAATAAATCTTTGTGATTCTACTTGTGGGAAGATGCCCTTTATTGTTTTTGTTGCATGGTTTGTGTGTGTTTCAAATTATTTTAGTTTGTTATGATTTGTTTTCATTGTATGTATATTTGGGTTTCTGTTTGCAGAGGGCTGTGTTTTTTTATTATGTTAAACCACACCCCCAACCTGAGGAGCGAGAGGGACATTGGCTGCGCACACCTGTTGCTTGGGGAGTGTTAAAGCAAGCTGGACAGGCGGCTGGGAAGGATTGCGGCGACAAGACGGGGAGGGACCTTGGGCTGAAAAAGCCTGCCTTCCAACGCTTCTGAGTTTCCCGCACAAAGGGGGGGTGGGGCAGCGCGAAGGGGTTCACGTTCTCTCCCCACTGGCAGCTCTCTTCTGTGGCAGGGCCGAGCCGCGGAGTGGAGAAGGCGGCCAGGGGAGCGTGCGTGGAGGGCTACAACGCTGAAGCCGGGGGGGAAGGAGTTGGATCCAATGCTCTGCCCTGGATAAACTCTTCAGCCTTCTTTTTCCTTTTTTTGTTGACATTTTAGCAACTGTTAATTGTTTTAGCCCAGGTTCAACATACTTTTAACTGTATTTTATTATTTTTTTATTTTACTTAAAGTTGTAATAAATTCACTGGGATTGTTTTTAATCTCTGGTTTTAATTGCTGCTCACCCCTGGGTATTGAACCCTAGCCTTTTTATTGGGTCCTAGCCTTTTTATTGGGTCCTAGTCCCCCTACTAGGTGGCGTTGTTGGCAACAATATTTAGAATTTGGTTGGGATCTTTAATAAAAGAGAAATTGAGTGCTACCCCCCGCCCCTTTCCACTCGGCCACATACTTGTACGTTGATGTGATTTTCCTCATGTAACCTGGAGTTCTGGATTAGTCCTGGGTTAGAAAACAAAAAAACAAAACGCAAATTAAAAAACAACTTACATTTATTAAAGAATGTTGCTTAAAATAGGAAACCATCACTGTGTGTTGTATAGCAAATATATTAAAATTCTTATCAATTTATAGTAAAAAAAAACAAAAAAAATAAAATAATGAAATAAATGTGCACACACAAATACATTTCATGAAACAATATTAAACATCTACAAATGCATTAAAAAGTTGTATTCATCCTTAAGAAATCATTGGTGGTTGATGTGAGAGTAGATGTTGTCATCCAAGGTGTTTTCTGCTGTTAAGAAGGAAAGAAATAACTCCAAATGTCCAAAAACCTTTAGTTCCCAAAAAAATGTTTTTATTATAATTGTTGTAATTATAAATTCCACTGTGCTGAATTTATTTGTTTACTTCATTATAAATATGCAGAGTAAAAAAGATTCATGTTTGAAGTTTGTTTGTGATAAATAAAGAATGACTCACCTTTATTCTGTTTCTTTTTATGATGGTTTACTTGGGCATGTGTCACATTTTCACCTAAAAACAACAACAACGACAACTATTTATATTCATATTTTTTTCTTCTCCCCCAAATTGCATCTGGATATAACATATTTTTGGAACAATAATTTCATTTATTTATTTGATTTCTTTTTTAATCCAGTACCTAGTAAAATATTTAAGCTTTATTTCAACTAATTATTCAGTGTTATTCTAGAGAAAATGCATTATGTAAAAAATAAGGAAGTAACCAAATGTAATAAACTAATGTATATTTATTGTTAGGATTTGTTTTTTTTGTTCTCTCCCCCTCCCCTTTTGTTGCAGAGCTTGAGTGTGGCAGGGGGCGTGGCTTCTTCCAGAGCAGAAGAGACACATCTGCAATCAACTCCTTCATCCGCCTCTGTATTTAGCCCTGGTCTTCTCACCACCACTTTGCCAGATAATTCCGTCCTGTTCGGAAGTGTCTATCAGGCTCTTGGATATTTACCTATTTTGCTTATTGTTCGTTTTGGACTTACCTGCTCCTGTTTTTGCCCAGGTGTCTCTGTGGTTGTCTGCCGTTGCCTCTGGAAAAGCCGGCCAGCTCCCTGCCTCCTCAGCCTGCCTTCCGTTTGTAAAATAAACTGTTAAAACTTGACTGAGTCCTGGTTTTGCTTTGGGGTCCCTCTTGCCAAACCGTAACATTTATTTTAATTATTATTTTTTGGGCATTTTAGCTTCATCAATAGTTCGATATCAGACAAGTTTTTGGTGAAAGGCCTGAACTGTTGAAGTGCAAAATCAACTCCACATAAGTAACTTTTTATTTATATCGTGCTTTTCACAGACATATGTCACAAAGACGCTTTACAGAGCATTGTTCATTCACTCCACACTTGGTGGTGGTAAATTACTATTGTAGCCACAGCTGCCCCGGGGCAAGCTGACAGAAGTGTGGCTGCTAATCTGCGTCATCGACCCCTCCTACCACCATCAACACTCACACACACACACCATTTTCATACTAGGCAATGTGGCTGAAGTGCCTTGCCTAAGGACACAACAAAGGTTTTTCAAGTGGCCCCCCACTGTGGCACCTGATTTTCCCAGTGTTTTCTCATCCAAGTACTAACCAGGTTTTTATAACAGAAGCAAAGAGCTTTAAGAGCTTTGTTTTACCTGAAGAGTGTGGACGAATATTAGAATAAACACAGCTCTCGTCTTGTGGGGGGTTGTTCCTCCCTGAAATGATATTAAAAAAAGAAAAATTATAAGTAAAATAAATAAATTAAATACATAGGTGGAACAAACTCACCTCTCACATATTTTAGTTCAAGCAGGGAATAAATGGCATCTGTGAAATGAACCAAATTGTATTATGGATAATGGAAATACACATGTGTCGCTTTTTACTTTAGTAATGTGTTTAGTAGTATGGGACATTAAGCATTTTGAAGCTAATATCTGATAAAATAGAAAAAAGTCCTTTGAGTTGTATAGATTTCAAGTGTTTGCAGAATAAAGGTGAAGGTTTTATCACTCATTTGAAATCTGCACTTGAGCCACTTCATGTGCTCGTTTACATGGCCAGTAAAAAACTGAAAACTAGAATGATCAAATAAACCAATAATTAGATCTGATCAGTAGAGAAGTAGGTTAGTAGGTAAGTAAGAGAAATATGATCTTAATAAGTAAATAACTTACTTAAACTTACTTACTCACTAATTACCTTTCTTAAACCTGATCTTCAAAAACACTTGGTAACATGTCGGTCAATGGATTTTAGAGTAACTTTTATTTGAAAGACAAAATACATTTTAAAATAGCTATTTCAATCTTTTGTATTTTCTTTGCCACTATTGTCTATCTCTTTTTTGCATTAATTTTCCTACTCAGAACCTGTACAGATGTGAACTGCCAAAATATTATATTCCTCAGTAATCAGTTCAGGATGTTTTTTTGTTTTGTTTTGTTTTGCGTTCCTTTTTTTTTTTTTGGTACGAAACACAGTGGTAAGAAAAAACAAAACAAAACACCCCATAACACTGAGCTTCACTCTGTTATCTTATAAGGTAATACATTACTTGATGGGGAGGTGTGGTCATTGCTGGTCACATGATCTTCAGCAGAGCTCTGATTGGTTCTTTGAGTCCTGCACAAATTTTCAACAGTTACACACATTAAATAATCCTATGAATATTTTGCAGAGAAACAAACAAATAATTAAACAACCAACCTCAGAGTGCACAGGTCTGTAAAGAAAAAGAAACATTTGTGAATAAAAGTGAAGCAAACCAGTAATAAAATGTAAAGAGTGTGCACATAGACACACACAGTTAATAGAGTCACAAATCTCACCTTTTCTCTTTAAAAAATGACACAAAAGCAGCAGTATCATGAGTAAAACCACTGCACACACAGGTCCAACCACCCACATCACAGGAAAGAGAAGAGAAGAGAGCTCACCTTTGGGTGCACCTGTGGTCATAAGATAAAATATGCTTTTATTTTTGTATTTAGGTATTTGGTATTTTAAAGAATAGTTTCACTCACTTTTAATTGACATCCAACTCTCTGGAGATATAACAGTGTTTGGTTTTGACCGCGGCCATAGTTTCCATTGTCCCTCACATTTATAAAAGCCTTCATCAGACCTGGACACTGCAGTGATGTTGAGCTCTGGTTCAGTTCCATTTTGAATCATTTTTCCATTTTTATAAAATTGGACTGAAGTAAAAATCCCTTTCTTGAGTTTACAGCTGAGAGACACAGACTGTCCCTCAGTCACTGCTCTCACTGGACTCATAAGAATGATGTCTCCTGTGAAGTTAAACATGTCAAACACATAAAATACTTTAAAAGACTCACTTCTTATACTTTATATCAAACTTACTGTGGACTGAGATGTTGAGGGCGTTGCTCATTTCTCCTGATCCAGACTCACACCAAAACACTGCACTGGTTTTCTCAGGTAAATAAAACTCACATTTAGACTTGTCTTTACTCCAATGACACTGTTGTGATGATAATGTGTTATCAGAAAACCTCCTCCAGACTGTGCTGTCTGCTCCAGTGGAATTGAACCCACAACTCAGAGTGATGACATCATAAGTGAAGTGCTGTGCTCTGTCAGGACTGACCGAGAGAGAACACTGGAGACTCAGCCTCTGAGGAGCACAAGACCCAGACTTAAGTAACACAGACTTTACTGAGTCAGGCTTTAGTGAGTCAGACTTTAGTCAGACTTTAGTGAGTCAGGTTCAGAGGTGAGGGACATGAACATGTGGGACGTACCTCCAGACCAGACAAAGGAGGGGTCACTGTGTTCAGAGTAGAAGGAGGGACTTCCTCTCTCTGTTTGACACACAAACGTTGCTGAGTGGTTGAGGCCCTGGAGGCTGAAGGAGTCCTGTTTAGAGGCGGCACTGGCCCCTGGGAGCCGCTCATATGTGTAAGACTGTGAGTGAGGAACAGCCCTGTACCAGTGAAAGCTCCATCCTGCAGAGGGCGCTGTCACAGCACAGCTCAGAGAGACAGAGGCCCCAGGACTGATCCAGGACACAGACACAGAGAGGACAGGACGGGGGGCTCCTGAGGAGTGGATGTTATATTTAGATCATCACATCCAATGTCATTGTGTCATATTAAATATAAACGTACTGTCAGACACATTTAGTGTGAGGGGGCGGCTCCACTCAGTGACTGTGTGGGGCAGGACTCCTCTGCACCTGTAGGAGCCTCTGTGTGTCACTGCTGCTCTGATGGTCATTTCTCTTTGTTTGTGCTCCAGACTCTGTCCAGATCTCCTCCATTCAAATATCCACTCAGCACCTGCTCCATGAGCGCTACAGGTGAGAGAGAACTGCTCTCCAGGGAACAGCTGAGACCAGGGAGGCTCCACAGAGACAGAGGGCGCTGGAGTCTGGACACACAGTTACACAGGAGATCACCAGACAAAAATACATGTACTGCACATACATCTGGTAGTATAAGAGACATGTTAGAGTCAAACTGACCAGTGGTTCTGAGTGTGAACTTGTGACTTTGCTCTGTGAAGTAGGGAGGCTTTCCTCTGCTGGCTCTGCACTGGTACTCCCCTCCCTCTGACACTGACACCTGTGCCTCAGATGAAGACTGTTTAAAGAGCTGCTCATTTCTGCTCCACTCATATTTCCACCCAGAGGAAAGTGGAGAGACAGAGCAGAGCAGCACCACACTGCCCCCTGTCTGCACCTCTGAGAGTCCACTCACTGTGACCTGAGGTTTGTCTGTAGAATACATAATTACACCAAAACATGAACTTCACCAATTAAAAACATGCAGGTCAAACCCACACTTTGTACAGTGAAAGTGCACATACTGTGTACAGTGACAGTGGTGCTGGTGCTCCACACAGTGATGAGGTGTGGGTCTCTCTGGGCTCTGCAGCTGTAGGCTCCTCTGTCAGACTCAGTCACACTGGACACTCTGTATTCTCTGGTTGTTGGACGTAGGTTCAGTGTGTTCCTGTTCCACTGATAGGTCCACTGTGTGTCTGCTCCCTTCACCTCACAGCTCAGACTCAGACTCTCTCCCACAAATAACACAGACCAGTTTGGAATCAGAGACACTGTGTTGGGAAGTGTGTAAAAGAGAAATACTTCAACTACAGAAGGAGACACTGATGATGACCACAGGGTCAGAGAACAGGACTCACCAGTTTGTTTGACAGTGACTGCAGGACTTTGAGGTGTGAGGATGAACTGGTCCTGTCCTCTGCAGCTGTATTCTCCTCCTCTGGAGACACTGACTCTCTGTGAGGTCTCACTTAATGTTTCAATTTGAGAATAACTACCCCTGACCCATATGTATCTCCCTGTAAACCCCTCTGTGTAACAGCTCAGAGTCACACTGCCCCCTACTGGGATAACTGAGGACAATGGTGTCACACGGACACTGCGTTTTGTTTCTGCAAAGAAGGAAAAGAGATGGTAAAATGTTCAGACATAAATCCATAAAAAATATGAACTCTGCAGACCAGGGCACATGTGGTTCAGAGTAGTTGTGTTAAATACTGACCTTTTACTGTGAGTGTCCATTTGTGTGATTGTACTTCCTCATTGATCCCACAGGAGTACTGACCCTGGTTTGCTTTTGACACTGGACTGATTTTCAGTTGGACTGTTGTTGTAGGTTCATGCTGAGGCTGATGATGAACAGGTTTTCCATCTTTAAAGAAGAGTAACTGTCTCTGAGCAGGACCAGAACAGACCAGAGTCACTGAGTCCCCCTGATACACAGACTGGACTGGAGTCTGCAGGTTCAGATTGGCATCTGACTCACTGTGTACAGTGACAGTGGTGCTGGTGCTCCACACAGTGATGAGGTGTGGGTCTCTCTGGGCTCTGCAGCTGTAGGTTCCTCTGTCAGACTCAGTCACTTTGGACACTCTGTATTCTCTGGTTGTTGGACGTAGGTTCAGTGTGTTCCTGTTCCACTGATAGGTCCACTGTGTGTCTGCTCCCTCCACCTCACAGCTCAGACTCAGACTCTCTCCCACAAATACCTCCAACTGACTCAGACTCACAATGGGGACTAAAAGATTCACAGAAAAAACACTGAACTTGTTCAAATTGTTTGTAACAAAAAGATGATTTTATAACATGTAAATGTCAAATTAAAGGAGTGATCCATAAAGGTAATGTATTCTTTATATTCTGTACTCACCAGTTTTCTCAACAGTGACTTCATCACTTAGTTTTGTGGCGACATGATGGTCGTTCCCTCTGCATGAGTACACTCCTCCATCAGAGACACTGATAGTTTGTTCCACTTTGCCAATATTTTCCCATTTAGATCCAGGGTCATAATTTCGTCTGAACCATTTGTGTTTTTCATTCCAACCCTCTATATCACAGCTCAGTGTCACACTGCCCCCTACTGGTGTTTCTGTGTTTGACACAGTCAGTTCAACTCTGCGGATCTTTTCTGTAAACAAACAGGAACAAATACAAACAAATATCTGGTGTAGTATTTTTATAATTTATGGAGGATCATGTGCTCATCTTACCTGTAACTTTCAGTTCTTTTTCATGGGATCGTGTTTCCTCACTGGCTCTACACAAATACAAACCCTCATCTGATTTTGACACTGAATTAAAGATCAGATCTGTAAAGTCTGGTAGTTGGAACAGCACATGTTGTGTGTCATTTTGTACAAGTGTTCCATCTTTGTAAAACTGCAGATGTTTTTCACCATGAGCTGTGCACCTCACAGTCACTGTGTCCTCCAGATACACAGACTGTCCAGGAACATCCAGAGTGAAACTGTCACCTGTAACTCAACAGAAGAGGAGCATGAACAGACTCATGGGAAAAGATGGATATTTTATGATGTACTTAACTCTCGAGACAGATTAGAGGAGAGAGGCTGGTGGGACTTGAACATTACATTTAAAACAATAGGCCTCATTCATGAAGTGTTCTTACAAACACATTTTACTCATAGCCTTCTTACAAACATTTTTGAAATTCACAAAATATTTTCTTTACTGAAAATGTTCTGGAAGAAGTACTCATAATAACAAAAAATTAGGTGTTTTATTTTATTATAACTCTGATCATGGAACAAAAAATTGTACTTCCTCCATCCTCCATAATTGTAAGTTATATTACAATTAACATTAACATATTGTACTTTTTTTTTTATTATTATTTCTCATAAAAAATATGACTATGTAAACCAGTAACATTTACAAGGAGTTTTATAGACCATGTAGTCTATTGTGTCTATACAGACTGCAGTGACTCTGTGTACTGTCTGTGGCAGTGACCCTCAGTCTGTCCCAGCCCCACTGCTCTCCATATGGACCACTGTTACAGCCCTGGGTCTGGTTACTGCGCTGGACTCAACACCCCCGTTACCCCCATCATCCCCCTCACCCCTCATGACCAGAGTGCACTCTTATGCACCCCTAGCCCAGCCCCCTCCCTCACTATTCTTCGCATGTCCGCAGCTCACAGAAAATGCAATAAAAGCCCCCGCTTAAAAAAGATGAATAACATAATGTTCCCTCACTGAGTGTGTTCATGTGAGTTTGGACATTTGAAATGGCCGCTGTAGTTTTTAAAACATCCATAGTCTTTACATGCCACCTGACCTCATTCACTCTCTCCCTTGTGCTTTTTATATAATGTCAGACCCATACTGGTCATACATGGAAGTTCAGAGGGCGTTTCTTACTAAATACTAGGGAAGAAACGATAATCCATATAATATCGAATCATTTGATACTGGTCTCACGATTTGATACACATGTTAGGTTGATACACACATGTTCTTCCATGCGTGCTGTGTTCTCATTTAGTTTTGGTTCAAAAGGGAAACAGTTATCACAGAGTCCTTCTCAGTTTCATCTTTCAGTCACTCTTTAGTTTACATTGATAGACACACGAATGACAAAGATAATAACTTTTAAATACTTTAGAACCGATTTTGGTTTTACATCGACTTGAATCAAATGTGCTCATATACACACCTACAACGCCACATGCCATTTACCCCATCTTTTTCTCAGACTCTGTCTCTTAAGTTTTCTTCAGAAAAAGGTCCTTGAGACATTTCTATCTAATATAACATAGTTTGAGTGTCCAGAAAGAGGATGGGAGAGAACAGAATGTCTGTAAGAGCACAGAGTGTAGCAGGGCAGTGTGGGAGGAGCTACGTACTGTCTCTGCTGGAGGGGGTAGTGTGGGAGGAGCTACGTACTGTCTCTGCTGGAGGGGGTAGTGTGGGAGGAGCTACGTACTGTCTCTGTTGGAGGGAAGAGCAGTGAAGACACACACGTGTGCAAGCAGTGAGAAGACTAAGGAGGGAAAGAAATCAGCATCAAAATAGGAAAAGTCTCATAGTGTAGCTTCCTTAACAGTCTATATTAAGAGTAGACTGTATTATAAAATATAAAATAGCCTGATAATGCTCTTTTCTTATTTTCACTTAATATAAATTGTAAGATGTTCATAATTGAACCAAATGATTTAAAACACTTCACATATAAACTACAACTTTACAATAGTTGTACTGTAATGTATTGTGTGTAATGTATGTAATGTTTCATTAATATCATAGTTTTATTATATTATACTCATTAGCAGAAAAAAATACAAGTGATTTTTTTTTTTTTTGCATCTTAAAACGTATCAGAATCAAATCATTATCGTGACCCATGTATCGAGATATGTATCAAATCGTGGGAAAACTTTATCTTTGCATCCTTAAATATACATACATTTTTATTTATATGAAACATAAATGAGTGTAGTGGTGTTTGTAGCTTGATGTTGGTGAATTAGGCACAAAACATTTGCAAAGAATTTGGGAGCTTAATAACACTTTTTGAATCTGGCGCAGAGTTTTTCAGCATTTTCTTTAAGTGGAAGTTCTGAACATTTTTAAAGAAAAGATTCATGAATGAGGCCCAATGACTTCAGTTGATTTTCTTTAATTAGCATCATGTTAAAATCAACCAGCCCACTACTTTAAAGTTAAATTTGAAGTTTCTGAAATCAACAATGATCCATAGCAGTATAACTCCCAAATCCAAATGAAATAGAGATCATTACCTTGTGTCTGTTTGCAGATGGCGACACAAAACACTGGAATAAAAACATATAAACATGTAGATTCATGTCCACTTTCAGCAATATGAATGTAGTGACCCAGGTGTAAAGTCTTTAGTGGTGACCAAAGTGTAGTACTCACAGATGGACCACAGTGTCCAAAGCAGAGAGGCTCCCATCCTCAGAGTGTGAACAGACTCCAACTACACACACAACTGAACTCTGTGGAGAAAGATGCAGTTTTATGCAGTAGACTGACTGTCACTGTGTTTCCTTCCTTTTTAAAACCACACTCACCTTATTATAATACACTCAAGAAAGGAAACAACAACAAAAACAACAGCTTCTATTGTGTTTTACTGATGAGGTGTTTGCATTTTTATGTGCACAGATGTAAGATTACATGACTTTTGTTGTTTTAAAGATGATATTTATTTAATTTAATTTATTTATTTTGCACATATAACAAGACAATAAAAAGAAACACACTAGATAAAAGGTAGGTGCCAGAAGAGGCAAAAAAAAAAAAAACCCAATAGGGCTTAGATTAAAGCCTCCTCCTTATGAATACATTAAAAATTTTACATTATCATTGTGCATAAAAACACGGATTAAAACACAATAAAACATCCGTAATTGAAGGATTATCAAACATTAGCATGAAATATCAAACATTTCCACATCAACTCTTTTTAAACAACGCCTCTGATCTGCCGTCACTAACCAGATGTGAAAACTGGCTTCAGAATTTACAGCCTCTGTATCGTCGGCAAAATTGAGCTCTTGATGTGACAAATTTTGGAACATGAAAATTATGCATTTGATGAGGTTTGTATCTATGAATCTCTTCATTGGTTTTCAAATAAAATGTGAAATGTTTGGGGATCGTTGTTGAATTGTAAAGAATTTTATACATAAAAATACAAATTTGATAAATATTAATCTCATAAATATTAAGAATGTTAAGTTTGGTGAATAAATGAGCAGACGATGTTAGTGGCATAGAATGAGTTGCAATTCGAACAAAACGTTTTTGCACCAATAGTATTTTGTTAAGAGTAGTAGAGAAAGTGCTTGCCCAGACTATATTTCAATATGACAGATAGGAATAAATTAAACTATAGTATAATTTAAGTATAGACTTTGAGTCCAGAAATTTACAAACTTTTCTTATAAAACCAAGAGATTTGTAAATTTTTCTGGTCACCCAGTCAGCATGCTCTTTCCAGTTTAGATTATCATCAATAATGATGCCCAAAAATATGGTGGATGAGACATGAGTTATTTCAATTGAATCAATTTTGATTTTAGGGTTATATTATATTTCAGCAGAGTGATCATCAATACATCTGATTAAATGTGTCCACATGTGAGACAACATACACAATCTGTGACTTTAAAAGAGTCAAACTAACAATGACTTTCAATGTGACAGCTGTATGTATATATATATATATATATATATATATATATATATATATATATATATATATATATATATATATATATATATATATATATATATATATATATATATATATAGTTAATACTATCCTTCCACGGTGGTAGGTCTCTCTCCCTCATTTAGCTCGGGTCGTCTACCAAGGCCTGGGAGCTTTGATAGTTTGCGCATATCTTTGCTGTTTCCCATATAACTCACTTTTCTGGACTGAGATGTCCGTTGTTTTTCCCGGTATTGTTGTAGCCATCTTCCAGTTTGGGGGTTACAGCCCGAATGTCCGATCACCACAGGCACCACTGATGCCTTTACTTTAACAGGCTCTCTCCATGCTCTTCCTTGAGCCCCTGGTATGTTGTGTCTGCTTGTGTGTGTGTGTGTGTGTGTGTGTGTGTGTGTGTGTGTGTGTGTGTGTGTGTGTGTGTGTGTGTGTGTGTGTGTGTGTGTGTGTGTGACTGGACCATGTGACCTGAAATATTTTAAAACCACTGTGGTGAAGCTGTGAACGTTTTGTCGGAATGATGTGGGTCGCTCTTCTTTATACTTTGCTCATTACCTTCACACCAAACATTAGTCCTTTGTCAACCAAATAAAGCTGCATGAGCGATGTCACTTTAAATATCAGAATCACAATTTGTTTTATTGCCATTGTCAGTGAACACAAATCACAAACCAGAAACTTGCTTTGGTCTTATGGTGCCACATTAAATCAAAAATAATAATATGAACTATGATCAAATAAAATAAGAAATAAGCGGGCACACATTAAAATAAGGTTGAAAATAGACTTTGAGGTGCCAGTGCAATACATGTATGTAATGAATGAGCCACTGCAGTCTCACTGTTGTTTGCAGCTATATTCTGTATGTTGGAACACATAGGGAAGTTCACAGATGTTGAATAGGGGTCCGGTCAAGTGGTAATGGAGGGAAACAAGGGCAGGTTTTTTATACACAATACGATGATGTTTACCTGGACTGACTCTGTGTTTCCTTCCTTTTCACACCACACTTCATCATAATGCACCCAAACAAGGAAATAAGTACAAACATCATCAAAAATATCATCTTCTATTGTGGATTTCAATGTGACAGATTTATAAAATCTAAAAATATCTTATTTATATCATAAATATCTTGAATTATCATTGTTTGTTTAGCTAATATTTTTTCAGTGATGTGCACATAGTTATAGCCTTCCTAATTTGAAAAGAAAATGCATTTACATCTGCTTTCTTAGAATAAGAATCTATTGATTCTTTTTCTAAGAAATGGAAAAACCTAAAAAAAAAATATTTGAGAGCATCTGCAGTGTCAGCAAATATAAGCTATAACAACATTTGACAGAACAGATGCAGTTGAGTTGAATATATATCCACTGACTTCTATTATAATCTTTTTTTTTTTTTTTTTTTTTTTTCTCCAAAGCAAACCCAATCAAATTTAGAAAAAAAAATGTATTTCAAGAATTTATCCACTTTTAGCCCCTCCCCACATGACTTCTTCTGTTACCTTGTACAAAGCATGGTCAGTGTCACATTTGGACTGTTCATGATGTTCAAAGCATGTTCAAAAGCAGATGAAAATGCAAAAGTGGTTTGGATGTGTTTCTGTGCCTATTCAGAGGTGATGTATCTCTATGTAAAAACAGCCTATTCATGAACAAAGCAGTAAAATCCACTTCATGAGGATTTTCATAGTTTGATAGTGTAATAGAGGCAATCAAACATGCCTTGTGAAAACAATTAGACAAAATCTGAACTTTCATAATTCACTGAAAAAATAAGATTTCAAGCCACAGTGACAACAAAATTAAGAAACAAGATGAAATTTGTGATCAAATGCACAGTTTGGACTGTAGCCTGTGTACAAGACAAAATCACTTAGTTTGAGGCTGCATGTTATAGCTTAGATAAAACTATGCATTTACAATGGAAAAGTCTATGGGAGAAATCAGCCTGGACAAAACCTCTGTGTTCAAACTGACAGTAAAACAAAACAAAACATGAAACAAAAATCAGACAAAGTCAATCTTCCCACTAAGCACTGATAGGCCAGTCACACTGATAAGTACAGGTAAATAGTCAGAGTAAAACATATTATTATTGAATTAATGCATATAATTAATTTGCTGGAAGTAATATTTGGCATAAACTGGCATCTTAAGGGTTCATTATTTATGGTAATGGATAGAAACAATGTCAATGAAAAGAGAACCCATTCTGGGGGAAAAAAAAGAAAATCTAATGAAATCTATGGAAATGTTTTTTTTTTGAAAAACACAATTTGTACATAAAGTCTATATTCACACTGAATATCCACACTGATGGGCCAGTCACACTGATCATTGTAAGAGTTTAAAAACCCTATTATGAAATGACTGTAGGCTGTTTTTTGGCAATTTACAAACTCACTGCCATTTTGAAGAGAACCTTTTCATTTAAAAAGTATTGAAAAATACAAATAGTACAAATATTTTCAACAAGTCTAATAGTTGGGTGAGCAGTAGTTTGGCTGTAGCTTTCTATGAAATGGCTCTGAGTGTGAGCGCACTGTGTAATCTCAGAACTGCTGTGGTGAAGCTGCAACCCAGAAGGATGTGGGTTTCTCTTCCTCTTTGTATAACTGTTTTCACACCTAACATGAGTCCACTGTCTACCAAATAAAACTGCAAATACTATGAAACTTTGAAGATGTCATTGCATTGCCTGGAGTGTTCAACATGGCAGTAAACTTGGCAATCGTGCATCTATTCAATTCAACTGTTTTTATTGCAACAAGGGAGCCACCTGCTGAATGCAGGTCGGTAGGTGCTGCTATGTATGTGGCCTCCTCTGGTGGCATTAGAGCGTCTCTCGTGCCATTAGAGCTTTGCCTACCGACCCGCATTCAGCACTACCCACCTCGGTGTGGCTCCTTCCTCGTGTTTGTGACTCCCCGCCCCTCTAAACAAACAAGAATTCCACCCACACTCTGAATTTACAGTTTATCCTCAGCACGTTACAAGTTATCCACGCATCTCTACTGTGTATGGTGATGGTCGAACTAATGGGTTGTCGGACCAATGATCCTCTGTTTTTCTGATGAATGGAATGTCTGACTAATGGGATCTGTACTCGAAGGTTCATTTTTCGAACTAATGGGCTGTCGTAACAATGACATGGAACCACTAATAAGATCCCACTTAGTGCAGTTCAAAAGTAAACAAGTAGGTGTGTTAGTTTCAGAGTAGTTTAGCTCTGCCCTGCAGGCAGATATAAGGAATTATCCACCAGCATTTTGACCAGAACTGAAAAATGGATGAGCTGAAAAACGTATTCTATCAAATTTGTCCAGTTGGCAAATTTAATTTCTCCTTTTGCCACGGATTCTACCTGGACGAGTGAGGGATTTTTCACAAACCTACACAGTAAAGTTGTGCACAAAGTAGAACCAGACCAGAGCAAGATTAGACCAAGAATAAACCCAGGCCAGTTTATAGAGAAGGACTAGACCTGGGTTAGAACCAAGCCAAACAGAGAACTGAACATGGACTTGCTTTTGTTGGGTATTTAGTGGTAAACCTAATAGACAATACATAGACAAGTATTCGACATTTTATTCACTATATAAGAGCTGAATAAAAAACATTAAATCGTGTGTACAAACGTGTGTTTCTTTCTTCTGATTGGTCCAACCGAAAATCACGTGGTCGTAATATGCGGAAGTAAACAAATGCGTGCCCGTTTTTCACGCATTGAGAAAATGTTCTGCTTCTTTTAAACGTTTTTCTCGGGTTTACACTGAACATTTCACCATGAAGGCAACGCTCACTCATGGATGAGTTTGTGATGTGAAATAGAAAAAATAACTTTAACAGAAGAACGATAAACGTAAGTAAAATTTAGCTAGTACCTATTTTGCTCTCATCAGTATGTTGGATCGCCAAATGGTTTTGTATTTACTTCTGCCTATGTATATGCTGCCTGTAACGCTGCATGTCTTTTTTTATATGTTAAATATGTCGTAAAGCATTACAATATTCACTGGAGTTAGCTTACTGTTGCATTATATGTAACAATTTGCTGCGTTGTGCTCCGTTTCTTTGATAAACTTAATCATCATAACGCACATTTTTGCATTTAGTTTCAGTTTTTACTCAAATGAAATGAATCCTATAGTGGCAGTCGTTGCAGGACCCAAAAAAAACTGCAGTGTAGACCTACTACTCTGACACCATCTTCCCCCAGGTGAAGATTGCGCCAGGTCAGTTTGTTTGTGAAGCAGAGATGAGGGCAGGCAGCTGCAGCTCGGCGGATGCTGACGCTTTGCCTTTCCTAAAGAAATCTGGAAAGCCGTCTGACTTAACATCTGCTCCTAAAACTTAGATTCTTTGGTCACAGACAAAAAACATCAAACCAAGAGCCAAAATGTGCTAAGCTGCCAGGTAACATGTTATCTAAGTGTGCGTCCTGGGCACAAGCCTCCAGCTTAAACAATAAAGACTGTGGTAAATAAACTCAATGCACACTGTAGCAGCTACCAAACAACGCACCATGAAACTCTTTCAAACTGTAAATGACGCATTTGTACTGTGAAATCCGACGACAAAGCAGAAAGGAGTCTTCGGTGGACATGTAAACATCCATCCATCCATTTTCGTCCGCTTATCTGGGGCCGGGTCGCGGGGGCAGCAGCCTAAGCAGGGACTCCCAGACTTCCCTCACCCCAGATACGTCCTCCAGCTCCTCCGGGTGGACCCCGAGGCGTTCCCAGGCCAGCCGAGAGACATAGTCCCTCCAGCGTGTCCTGGGTCTTCCTCCCGGTGGGACATGCCCACAACATATACATATAAACATACGCAGCACAATTTCGAAAACAGAACAATTAGAACATTTATTTACTCATTGATTCAAACTTGGATTACCTTTATTTTACGGAGACTTGGATAATTGATATCGCGTCTTTATCAGTCTCTGGATATAAAGTTTCCAGACGAGAGAGAGGGAAGAGAAAAGGAGGCGGGGTATTGATCTACGTATCGATAGTCACCCGATAGACATATCCTGATCAAACGCCAGAATGTGTCGGTGTCAAAATAAAACTATCGCCCCAAATGTCATTTATTGTGCTTGCTGTATACCGACCACCAAATGCAAAAACAGAATTTTATTCTGGTATAACTAAAATCCTAAAGAAATATGAAAGAAAGGAAATATTGCTTATGGGCGATTTTAACATTAACTGGCTTGATAAAACAAAGAGAAAAAAGCTTAAAGACATTTGTAACTCGGCCAAACTGACTCAAATGATCCAGAATCCAACCAGAGTCACAAAAAGCTTCTAAACTTTGATTTAACTTTCACTAACAAATCAGACAGGGTACTCAAAACATACAACTTAGTAACTGGGCTGTTTGATCATTAGTTACTAGGAAATTGACAAAAACAAGATATAGAAATAAAGAACAACAAACAACAAAATACTTTACATATCAAAGAAAAATCAAGAGCTCCTGAAAAATTATATAAATAAAATAGACTGGATTTGCAAAATGGTTAGTAAAAAATTGTGATCACACATAAACGCCATAAACGATCAAATTGATAAATACACACAATTAAAACATAGACAATCACATAAAAAGAGACTGTCATGGTTTAATGAACCCCTTTGGAATCTGATGAAACAGAGATAAAGACCTAAAAATTGCTCTTAACACTGGACTATGCATTGATCATTATATGTACAAAAGTTTGAGAAATCAAGTCATCATCATCATCATACAGCTCAGAAAAGATAGACCAAAGTTTTTTTCTAAACCAAATTAAGGATGCAAAAGGCAACAGTAAACAACTATGGAGGAGTATGGATAAATTACTGGAAAGGAGGAAAACTAACTCTGGACATTTGCAACTTAAAATAAAGTGGATAATCCATAATGAAAATACAGATTTGGCTATACATTTTAATGTGTAGCCAAAACAAATTTTACTCAAGATTACTGTAGAGATGAAGATAAATACTTTTTTTAAAATTGTGTAACAAAGATGAAGTAAAAATATCAAAAGTAATAGCCAACTTAAATGATAGCAAACAACAGATATTTTTGGAATTGACACTGCCTTTCTGAAAGAATTTAAAGAAACTTTAATCCCTGTACTAACGCAAGTTATAAATCAGTCTCAGTCAGGTCTCAAATTACCAGCCCATAAGCATCCTATCAACCATCTCCAAGGTCTGTTCGATACAGTTAACGATCTCTTACTCATCAGCACACTATCAAATTTCCATTTCAATATGAACACAACACATTGGATAAAATCTTATCTCAGTGGGAGGCAGCAATGTGTAGCAGTAAACAATGTTAAATCTGCCTTAAGACCTAGCAGCATGGGTGTGCTGCATGGCTCTATTCTTGGCCCCTTGTTGTTCACACTATATATTAATGACCTTCTATCTGTATGTAATGTGAAAATAATCATGTATGCCGATGATACTGTGGTATATGCTCATGGTAAAACTGTTCACGAAGTTGCTCAAAAGCTGTCAGAGATGGCTAAATTTACTGCTTGGTTAAAAAACTCTTGTATCACTTTAAATATCGACAGAAACTGTTTCTATGTTTTGTATAAATCATCACAAACCTCAGAACTATCCTGAAATTCTGATAGAAGGGCAGGAGATTAATAATGTTGATGTTGTGGAATTATTCTGGAACAAAATTTATGTTTTAAAAAGCACGTTAAAAAGTTAGCTAACACTATAAATACATTCAACATGGCCAATTTCAGATATATCAGAAACTCCCTAACTCCTGAAGCCTCAGGTGCTTATGTAAATGCAATGATAATGACACTTTTTTTTTACTGCATAACACGTTGGTCACAGGCTTGTAAATTAGCTCTGAGGCCTCTAGAATCATTATATAAAAGCGCTCTCAAGATCCATGACAAGAAAAGTCGGCTATTCCACGGTCATATTCTTGTGAAACACAGCATTTTAAGTTTTGAAATCCTGATAATGTATGAAAATGTTTATCAGCTGTATAAGATCATTCATGATGCTGCTGCTCCTCCGCTAAAACAGTTTGTTTCTCAGAGTTCTGGAGGGACAAGGATGATGATTTCATGATGCTCCAGTCATTATAAAGACATTCTCTTTGTATGTTTGATTTTATGAACTATAACATCAATCTGCCCAGGGAAAACAGGTGGAAAATAGCTCTGGCTCTACAACCTGGCAATAATGCATCTCTCCCTAAAAAATAAATAAACTAAACAGTGAACTACTTATAGAACCTTTGTTGATTTACAAGAGAAATGAACACAGAAGCTCACACTTTACAATATTTTAACAACAACAACAAAAAAATACTAAACAAAAATTCTAAACAAGTAGTTAAAAAGAAAAACAAATTAAGATCAGTTATACAGACATTTATATATATATATATATATATATATATATATATATATATATATATATATATAGATTTGACTGTCCAACCAATTAAAACTTCTCTTCAACTTGAGACACTATCAGTTTATTTAGTTTATTTATGATATAATAGCTAGATGATAACATTTGATGGTCATTTTGCATTACTCTTGCATTAACCTGCAGAATGCATTGTTATTTTTACATTGTATTTCAGCTGACTGAATGTATTTTTTTTTAGGAAGAATGGATCCAGAGAACATGGAACTTAAAATACCTGTTGTCATGTTGTTTGACTTTTTAAAAGTTCCAGAATACAGAAATTTGGAGCAAAAACTTCAAGTTCAAGGTTAGTCCTGATTTTGACCTGCTTTAGTTCTGATTTGGACTATGTTTAGTTCTGATTTAGTAAATTTTTTCCCTCAGATGCGTCTATCTTTGCTGAGAGGAGGTTTACTGGACTCACTGTGGAGGATGAAATGAAGTGCAACGATGGTTTCATTTCAATTTTTTGTCATGATGAGAATTTACTGGATGAAGGTGTGTTCACTGGCTCTGAACCCGAGCTGTACCTTTAGGGCTGCAACTAAAGATTGTTTTGTTAATTCAATTGTCTAGAGATTATTATTTTGATAAGTGTACTAGTCATCAGAAGAAAAGTCACTTGAGGTCTTCTCCATAGAGTGTTTACAAACCAAATTTTACACATTTCCTGTCTTTAATTCCTGCCCTCACGGAGTAATGAAACATCTTCTCAGACAGTTTTATTAACTATTTTAGTTCTTAGGTTAGTTGTGATTAACCAGTTAACTTGTTTCAGCCTTACAGAACTTCTTTCCTATGATCAAACAGAATCCTTAAAGAAAATTGTAAAGAAAGTAGTTTGTGAAATAAAGCAGGCAGCTTGGTGGGGACAATACCGTAAATACTGTAGCCTCAAAAGTTATTAGAGTAGAATCTAGGACCTCAAAGTCATATTGTGGATTTGACTGCAATTACAGAATTTGAGCCAGAGGGGGGCGCTGTTGAGTGGGATTTCAAAGTCGTGGAGGTAGAGGTAAAGGAAATAATGGACAATGATTATGTCCAGCATTCATATGACCAAGGTACTGCTACTACTATACAAGACTATACAAGATACTGTTAGCTGTTTTGTAGTATTTATCATTACAAGTTAATCTGGTTAATTGTTTCGCAAGATGAGTGCTAGGAATGTTACTGCACCTTTTACAAAATTGTTACATAAGATGACAGACAGTTGTGTTCTTTTCAATAGTAAAATATATCTTGTTGCATCTTTTTTTCCAGAACCTGTGTTTAGAGTCAAGGGAATAGAGTACGTCTGCCCCACATGTAACAAGAGCTTTCACCGTGCTGCACTTCTGAAACAACACCTGGTCATTCACTCCGGGATCAGAAAATATTCCTGCCAAATCTGCGGAAAGAAATTTGGCCGAAAAGGTTCCCTGAAAGATCACCAAGTCACTCACAACGGAAACCGAGACTTTGAATGCAAAACCTGCCATAAAATGTTTGTGCGAAAAGGTGACTTAGAGAAACATTTACGAAGCCACAGTGATGAAAGGCCATACTGCTGTAATCTTTGTGGGAAAACATTTAAATTTCATGTTAAATTGACAGAGCACAAAAGATCTCACTTGGATGTATTACCGTATCACTGTGATCAGTGTCCCAAGCAGTTTAGACTGAAACAACTGTTAAATGAACATAAAAATACCCACAACAAAGAGAAATTATTTGAATGTGAAGTGTGTCACAAAAAGTTTAGCAATGGAAGTAATTTGCGAAAGCATGTGATGATCCATACAGGGGAAAAACCTTTCAGCTGTTCAGAATGTGGAAAGACATTTAGGATCAAGCAGCACTGGCAGCAACATGAGATGCGCCATAGAGAAGAATTCCCATTTGTTTGTGATATTTGTGGAAAATCTTTTGTTGTAAATGCCACGTTACAGAAACACATAGAGACGCATACCAAACCCAAAAATGTGCAGAAAGAAATGGAGGAAAATGATTCTGAGAGACCATTCAGGTGTGAGCAATGCGGAAAAAGATTCAAAACTGTGCAGAATTTAAAACTGCACACAGCGAGGCATTCAGGTTTAAAGCCATTTGAATGTCAGGAGTGTGGGAAACAATTCAACGATAACAGTAATTTGAGAAAACACGAAATGATCCACACAGGAGAGAAGCCGTTTGAGTGCGGACACTGCACAAAATCATTCCGGCTGAAGCATGTAAGAGACTACCATGAGGCCACTGTGCACTGAGCGGAGAACCAGACTGAACTGGACAAAATCACAGCTACATTTAGACATTGCTTTTTAATTTTACAGTTGAATTTCAGGTGACATCACAACGTTTTACACACCAATAATATTTAAAGAGACTGGGTATTATGCCAAACCTACTTTCTACTATACATTATGATGTGTGAAGTCGTTTTGTATGTCATCCATGCATGTTTGAGCCCTATTTGAACCTACAACTTCACAAATCTGATCTGATGTGCAATAGTTTAATTAGCGGGGTTGATTGTGTTGTGATAGTGCTCTGAACAGGGAGTGACTTACCTCAGAGAGCAAAGAAAGGAGACGCTTTGTCAAAAACAAACTAAAATTAATTTCTCAGATGGTGTGCTAGAGCTTATATACCGTATTTTCCGGGCTATTAGGCGAGCTCTTAAGCCTCTAACCGCATCAAAAAACAACCGTGCGCCCTGCAATCCAGAGCGCCCCATACACGAATCCACTCGGGTGTCTCAGCACGACTTCAGTAAACTACAAAGCCGCACCACCTGCAGCGCACACAAACAAACACGGAGCAGACAGCGACCGCACAGCGAAAAACAACCACAGCCACACTCATCACTCCACACAGACGAGGAACAGAACGAAATAACGAATCGAAAAAGTGAGTGCAGTGTGCCACTCTGAGCCACAACTGAACAACTGAGTCACTGCGAACATGCCAACAATCCAGCGGTCCCAGACAGCACCCTCCCTACACGCCACAACTGAACAAAGCCCAGAGTCACCGTGAACACACCAAACAAAGTCCCACTGACCCATCCAACTGTTGTGTTTCGTTTAAAGTCTGGTGCGGTTTATTTGTGAAAAAAGTTCGAAAATAGATCATTTAATGACAGCGCGTCTTATAATCCAGAACGCCTAATACGGGATCACATTCAGAAAAAAAATAAATAAATCCACAAATGTTGAACCTTACCATGATTTATTTGGGATGTGCTCCACACACTTGCAATATGAACCTACTGAAATAATGTTCTTTCAGGTGACAACAATCACAAGTAATAGCACCACTTCCTTTAGCTATTGTGAAAAAATCATTCAACTTTTGTTTGTTTATACTGACAAAGACGTTGAAGTTGGAGCCAATTTCTATTTCATGTGGATAGGTCCAGTAATTACATAGATATTAACCATAAACCAGGTCAACAATCTGCATTATTTTAGAATTCTGAAGTGTCCTCCAGCTCAGGTTAAACTATAGGGTTTCTAGAATGTTTTGATGTCACATGAACGCAACCTATTATACATTTACATTTATTATTGGTTAACTGGATTTCTTTTTCTTTTTTTGTGTGCAAAAATGAATAAAATGGTTCATCCATGTAGGGTTAAAAAAACATCCCATAGCCATGTTTTGACAATAAAAGCAACTGCCTGAAAATCCGCATCTTGTTGGTGAAGTGCCTTTATGAATAGGTGGAGCTGGGGGTGGATGATAATGAGAAAAATGAATAGGTGATTTTTTTTTTTTTGGCATTTATTGATAGGATATAACAGATATTTGGAACAGGCATCAGAAATGTGCTAAAATATGCTTGTAAATATCTTTTTTTTTCAAGCACAAAACGTGAATGGACCATAAAATAAATGCTATGGTCTCTGTTCAGATGCAGATCAGGACCATGGTTCCCAAGTTCTTGCTTCAGTAGCGACTGGCCTTCTTTTTATGGAAAGTTGCTTGCCGATTTTGAGAATCATGGGTTGTGTTTTTTACGGCTTGCTTTCACCTCATAAAAGAGATGATTTTTATCCTCTTTTAGTTCTTTTTCATGTTAGTAGACTCAGGACTGATCTGTTTCTAGCAACGTTTTGGGCTCTTGTTTCAAAGACTTGGTCGCTTGTTTCTCTCTGAAAATCTGGCAACCCTGGTCAGAACTGGTACTCAGTGGTAACGTTTGGTATCACGTCTTCATCCTGAGGGTCCTGAAGGTTGAACACTCTCCTCCTCTGCCTCCTCTGAACGACTGATCCCCCTGTAATAAAAAAGTAATAAAAAGTAAATGATAATAATAATAATAATAATAATTACCAAATCACAAAAGATACAATTTCTGAAGTACTATAAATTCCTCCACAAACAATGAAATATCCTGTCTTATTCTGCTAACCCTGTAGTTTTAATGTGTATAAACATGTATTAGTTTGCCACTTCATATTTAGTCTTTTTGTCAGTTCTTCTGGACGTGTTTAAAATCGAAACTTTGTACAGAATCCTGTTATTAAAACAGAAATCGCAAAACTAATTGTAATTGCAATGTTTGTCAGAAAAAAATCTATATTTTCCCCAAATCATTCAGCCTCTGTAGATCTAGTACAGTATTTGAGCAAACTGCACTGTCACCATTAGTGTCCTATATTGACATTTCTATCACATCTTTGACACGTTTCAGCCGCCCCGTAGCAAATAGGATGTCACGCCTCTTTCTGTAACTGCTTTAGTGAACCTTTTGATCTTAAAATGTTTGTACTAACCTACTCTACATGATCCTTGTGTTTTTATTTCACTATTTTGTTCATAAATCAACAATTCCTATTCCTAATATAGAACTTGGCTCAAAATTTGTCCCTGTAACGCTGCGGGAAGTCACTCTCCCTTAGTCCACTTTATATACAGTTTGTATAGTCTTTATACGGTCTTTGGTTTCAACTCTCCGATCTTTTTTCATTGAATTGTATTGTTCATTTAACATTTAAAATAGCTCTAATGGCTGCCTCATTCTGCAATGTGTGAATATGGAGCAAATGCCAAATTATCTTCAATCACTATTCTTAACTATTATGTTTGCTTTCTTACTTTAACAGTTGCCTTTTCAGTTGCTGAATGTTGATGTTTTTTTTTTTTTTGTTTTTTTTAACAAGTTCATTGTATTTCCTGGTTGGTTTTTTTAAACGATCCATGTGTCAGACATGCAGCAAATGTGTCATATAACACTACTTCCTGTATTTTTGTATTTTTCTTTTCAAATTTTTTCTCCCACGAACTGCCACTTAACTGATGTAATGCTATGATAAATAGTTACCACATGTAATATCACAACCAAGTTATAGTTAGAAAAACATAAAAACTTGTCATATACACACTCTAACTGATTGATTTAGCAGAGAAACCAATTTGAAAACAGCAGCTCCAACAGTGCAACAGGATTTGGTGTGTAACTCACCTGCCTCCCTGTAGATGATGATGAAGAGCACAGTGGAGGCGACATACGGCAAGAACACGATTATGTACCTGAGGAGTAACAGAGAGCGAGCAGACCGGAGCGAGTCAGGAGGGAGTTCAGCTACAACAGATGAGAAAAAGAAGAAAAAAGTGAGATTTAGGTTCAGTTTTTTTTTTTTTTTTTTTTTTTTTTTTTCTGGTGGCACTTTTGGAATCAGGAGTAAACATGTACAATCAGAAATACAGCAAAGATGTATTATATAGGCCTAGATTAGGGCTGAATTATTTGGAAAAAATATCTAATTGCTCATTTTCTGACATTCCTGCAACTTCTGGCTTGGAAAGTGCAAAGTCGATTCCCACCTGCCCCTTTACAGTACCTCACTATAAATGTCATCACAACAAAGGGCCTCATACAGTCAGCCTCTAAGGAAAGCTGCAAATTACACATTTTCATTTATGCAAAAATGGTTTCACGACACAAATCCTACACAGCAAAAAGTGGAGTGTTAAAATTGACTCTCACAGAGTTAATTTTAACATTTTCTCAGAGTCTATATGAGTCCAATCTGTTCTAGAGTTAATTTAACACTTTTGGAAATGATAATTATGTAACACTGGACCAAAGTTACTGTTTAACCCCAAAATCAAGAGTTAAATTAACATTTTGAGAGTAAAGCGTTAACACTTTGTAGGGTTATCCTGATTTAGCTAAACAACACACAAAGGTGTTTTATTTTTACACTTAATTTGAGTTAATTTAACATCTTGGAGAGTTGTAACTACACACTGTGAAGTGCAAATTAAGGTACACTGTAAAAAACACATTCAGTGCTTGTAAAGCCTTTATTTTCTTTAAAACATTGTAAAAGATGAAATTATGTACAAATCATTATCTGAAGACTCTTGGCATCACCGTTCAGCTGTTGTTCAACCTGAACAGTCCTCTGATGTGTTGGGACTCCTTGAGAATAGTCAACAGGGCTGTCCGGTGGCTGAGGAGTCACTTGCCTTTTCCGCCTTTGGACTGTCTTCAGCCTTGAGATGTACCCTGATCCACCCGCAGCATCATAGAGGTGCTCCTAAAAGTAAAAAGGATGCCATACAACTTAATGTTGAATGTTTACACAATTTACATTGCTTAGAAAGCAAAATAATTCTTACATAGCTTTTCTTGGCATATGGATCTTTGAGAGAAGGAAACGCCATCACAATCCCAAGGGCAGACTGTTCCCGAGTAGCCTTAGAGGGGAAGTTACTGAAACAGGAATTCAATTTATTAGAGACGTTAAGAATAATTTATTCAATTTTGTGAACAAACAGAAACATACCCATGGTGTTGAATCATGTGAGAAACCAGTATATTAAATAACTTCCTTCTTGTAGTATGACTTAGGGTTTCTGTTTGGTATTCCTTTAGCACTTCTTCACCACCAGCTTTTTCTTTTAAAGCTGCTTCTATTATCTGTCAAAAAGAGAAACATATGTTACCGAGAGCTACAACATACAACATACACCAGACAGACAGACACCAATTTAGTGAATAAAAAAACGATTTAAAAGCTTACTTAAAATATGCAGGATAGAATACTGTCCTTGACATAAGCAAAGAGTTAAAAGACCATGGGTTATAGTTACGTCTGCTAGCAATTTCTTTTATAAAGAATTCAACCTATACAGTTATAATTGTAATTCTAATTAGTGAAGAAAATAAAAATATTGTCTATATAGTTTAAATCAAATTGCACTTACCAAAAAGAGCTGCATGTAAAAGTGAAAAATCCACTGTGTCTGTCTGGTTCAAACTGGTCTTCTGTGGCGGGAATTTGAAGTGGTGGGTGGGCGGTGCCAAGTTAACACTCGGGGAAGTTGAATTAACACTCGGGGAAGTTGAATTAACACTCGGGGAAGCTAAATTAACTTCAACCATATCAACTCTGGCAAATAACCCCAACTGTAACTCCCATTTAACTTTCAAATAGTTAAAATAACACTTTCTGTGTTAAAAACAACTCTGAAATATTTTACCTTGAAATTTTAACCCTCCAGTTTTTGCTGTGTACGTGTATCAGCGGACAATCAAACGGACAAGTACAGAGAAGTGGAGCATAAAGATTACTCAAACGTGCATAAATTTCTCTGAATACAACTTTGAGAGGATAAATGCAAACAGAAAACTCTAAAAAGATGATTTTGTGTATGATGCCTTCTTTTAAGGGCCTTCTAGTTTTTCTATTTGTTATAATGTTGTTTCTTCATCAGAAACAAACCTGTAGTTGTGTTTTGTTCCTTTCTCAAACAGAAAAAAGTCTGTTCCACCTTGTGATGCCATGTGGAGTTTAAAACCACAGTTTTTCAGAATCATTTGGATAATTTCAGCCCTGGAATGGCCAATCTATAGTGAACAAAAGGTAAAAGGTAGGTAGGTGATGTACACAGACTAATAATAAAGAGTTACTCAAACATGTGTGAATGAAACAAAACGTGAGTCCAGGTATGTTTTTGAGGAGGTAGCAACATTCTAACATGGCTTGAAAAAAAAAAATAATAATAAAATAATAATAATAATAATAATAATAATAATAATAATAATAATAATAATAATATAGGACCTTTAATATTAAGTACCAACCTGCTCTGACCCTGAGTGGACTGAGTTGCGACTTCTGTCCTCCCATCTCACACTGGTACAGGCCTTCATCAGATTGTGCTACCGACTGGAGGACCATCTTCCCTGCAGGCCACTCTGACAGAAAGTGTTCGTCTTTATAGAAATATGCTGGGAGGGTGGTGGGAGGGTGATGTTGACAGGTCAGATTGACAGTTTGTCCCAGAAAGACGGGGAGCAGAGGCACCTGCAGAATCACGCCGCTGTCTGAGAAAGACAGAGAGGGAGGAGGGGGAGTGAAGGAGGTAACAGATAAAAAAATTATGGTTTTTATGCTAATAATGTAAAATGCACTGCACCTGATTTGTTGTCACTGTAAAGTTAACACTTAGCATGCTAATCGTGCACTTCCTGATTCTTGGATGATAATAATAAGATTTCTAATTAGATGCAGACAGTACACAGCAGACTTATTTTGACCTTAAGAGCTTCTTATGCAATATGTCTGTCCCAGGGCAAGACAAGCTTTGCTCATGTAGGCTACATGGAAAAAACTGAGTACAGGCTCTTTAAATAAAATTCAATTACTGGTGTAAAACAATTTTGAAAAGTAGTACTCAGCCCTACCTCCTAGCCCTAGCCCAGTCTGAGACTAAACTAGGGCTAAACCAGGGCTAAACCAGGGCTAAACCAGGAAACTTACCTTTAACCTGGAGCTGGACAGAGTTGCTGCGTCGCGTGTTCTTGCCGCACCAGTAGATGGTGCTGTCTAGTCTCTTGGCAAAACTAAGTACACAGACAAACCCATGTACGCTGGAACCCCAGTCAGACCCGCACTGAGACCCAGTTTTGGGTCCAGGTTTGGACCCAGTTTTGGGCTTATGGCGTTGCACAGTCCAGCCCTCAGTGTGCGGCTCACAGGAGAAGTTCACAGGGCTGTACTCAAAGAACTGATCTGAGTTTGGACTCAGAACCAGCACTGGAGCTGGAGAGTTATCTGTGAAGAGAGAACTGCTCAAAACCTCAACCTAAGATAAAATAAGTCTATGTTTTATGGTGATAAAAAATGTGTCACTTTGTCATATCATGATTTGATTTCTCTATTTAAGGCAGCTGTCTGCTCACTTCATACACCTCTTAAAGACAGTAGAAAAATACAAGTCTACATGAATCGTGTTTATATCAAAATCATGATGTTGCCAAATCATCCACCCTACTATGTTTACATGATGGAGACAAAGAAATTTATCATCAGAGCTGTACTACCGTGCCTATGTAAAGCATTTGATACTTTGATAAGTAAAAATATGTGTTTGAGTTTCCAAAAAAGTGCTGTGCCCAAATTTGCCTTCAGTTCGAGAAATGTCCTAAACTGTCTTAAAGGGGCACAGGCTAACTTTTCTGGTTTCAACCCTCCAACATAAACATGGTGTACTTTTGATCAGGACTTGGTAAGCAGGACTGACCTTGCAGATACATGTGTACTGGTAGAGAGTGATGATTGTTGTCGTGGTCCTTGCAGGTGTACGCTCCCTGCTGGTCTCTCCTGAACCTGATGGTGGTCTGAGGTTCAGGGCTGGACTTTATGAGGACCTCATCTCTGTAGAAGTCCACTTTTAGGTTCTGGGCTCCAGATTTGAATCTGCACCTCAGAACCACCTCCAGCCCCTCCTCTAACTGAACTGGAGTCTCCAGGATCACAGGACCTCCTGAGGACAAAACAAGGACTTAAGCAGAACCTAACCAGGACTAAACCAGTACCTAACCAGGACTTAACCAGGATCTAATCAGGACTAACTGTACCAAGATCTGCATAACATCTAAATATGAATAAAAATATAAAGGCATACATTGATGGGAGAAGTATGGCCATACTTCTCCCATCAATGTATGCCTTTATATTTTTTTTCATGGGAGTCCACCTTGAGTAGTGTTGTAATTAAAGTTTTAAAGCAAAAGCCTCTCTCACCTATTCAACAAACATGTCCATCTTTTATGGGTGCATCTTTGGCAGTCCAAAAGGGAATGGTTATTATAAAAAAAAGTTCACCATTTTGGACCCAAAAGAAACCCATAAAATTGTTTCTAACCTGAGGACATATTTCTCAAAATTTAGAGGTCAACTTAATTTCCCTAATTACGAATTTATGTATTTGTTTATTTGTATTAGTGTCTCCATATTCAAATTAAGAGGGCGGGATGAGGTAAAATCCTGCGACTAAGGTAGTTCTAGATTAAAGTCTGAGATGAGTCTCCACACACTGCACACTGAGTTACTCTATGTATGAAATGTGTAGTGTAAATAAATATAGCCTTGCACTATAGCACCCACTCCTCTTGACGGGTTATACTGACAGATGAGTCAAATGCAGATGACTATTTTCCTTATGGGGGCAGTAAAGTGTACCTTACCCTTAAATTGCATATGACAGGTTAGACTTGTTTTCACTAAAACATAGTTTACACCATTATAGTCATAATTTACTATTAATCTTCCCTGGTTTTCTTTATTTTTGAAGTTCTGTGAGGTTTATAATTTTATATGTCCTATAGTTGGACATGCGGCTGATATGACATATTGACCTTGTTGAATCTACTAGTGAGGCATCTAGAAGCCCCCCAAAGCCACGCTCGGCTTCTGATCATAGACTTCTCTTCAGCCTTCAATACTATCCAGCCTTATCTACTGGCTGAGAAACTGATCTTCTTTTTCAATTTTGGATTTTAACCTTATTGGTTGGATTATGGATTTTTTTTTATCATGCAGGACACAGTATGTTAAAGTAAATGGTGTCATGTCATCGAGACTGTATTGTTCCTCTGGATCTCCAGAGGGTTGCGTGTTATTGTCCTTGCTTTTTATTTTGTATACCAATGACTGCAGAAGTGCATTTAATAACAGGAAATGAAATTTGCAGACGAGACAGTAATTGTGAGTGTTACCGGCGCCAGCCCTAGGGGAAAGCTGGGCGGTAGCAAGTGGCACACAGTTAAGGTTAAACTGTGTGGCCTAAAGGTGTGCTGTTGCTGTGAATGGACGGAGAGGAGACACGTTAGTCTGGTCACAGCTTGTTTAATTCTGAAGCTGCGCCTACGCCGTGTTCCCCTAGTCCCCACAGTAGCGCTAACGGCACCCTCTAATGGTCGGAGTATGTACTGCACCCAAAACAAAAGGCACGCTAGGAATCATTCAACAAAATAGAGGGGGTGTCTGTTTCCATATAAAACTTAAATACAGCCTTTTTTCAACCTACTACATGAGTCTCTAATAAACAATGAGAGTAGTCATGGACCTGTGGTGGATGATTTTATTGAATGGTGTGAATGCTTTTATTTATCTATTAATGAGTCAAAGCCTGAAGACATGCTGGTAGATTTTTTTAAAGTCACCCCCAAGTGCTTCTTTCTGTAATTCAGGGAAAAGGAGTTGAGTTTGTCTCTGAATATAAAATATCTGAGGGCAGTTATTGACAGTGCTCTGTGCTTTGAACCAACCACTGATGCCTGATCTGCAAGAAAGTGCAGCAAAGACGGTTCTTTTTAATGAGACTTAATTCTTTTAACGTCAGTAATGTTCCTATAACCTTTTTTTTTTTTTTTAATCAGAGTGTTATTTAATCTATTCTTGCATTTTGTATTGTTTGTTAGTTTGGTGCCCTCTCTCTGTCTTGTAAAAATCATCTAGCTTGGTCGGTCAAAGTGGTAGGTAAAATTGTACAGCAGTACAGTTACACTTACAGCAGTCCCAGCTGCAGCACATTCCCCGCAAAAGCGTGATTTGCCATACCCAACAAATAATGGAGAGCCCTGGCCACCTGCTCTTTGAGGAGTTTAACCTCCTTCCTTCAGGGTGGCATCTGAGAATGCCCGGATCAGAACTCAGAGAGCTCGAGCTTCCTTTATTTCTAAAGCCATAACTAGGATGTATGGTTTCTTATAGCTTGGATCAGAAAAATGGTTACATTTCCTGTTCTTTTTTACCCATGTTTGAGGAAATGTATGTCTGCATTATTGAGCAGAAGCGTAAGCTGTGGTTAAGTGTACTATTGTTTTGTATGTCTACTGTATGTCTGCCACTTCTGCACACCAATTTCTCTTTGGGACAATAATAAAGTTGAAAGTTGAACATGTAGAGGTAATTCTGTAACTGTTATCTTACAACCATAATGTTCACAAAGATTTTAAATTGCACTACAGTTATGATTAGGGGAAAAAACACCTTTATTTAGCTGAATTAGGGCTGAAACTTGGAATTTTCTGTGTTTATGACATAGGTAGAGGTATTCTGTTTTTGAACTCACCACTACTTCCTGTCCAAACCCTCTAACAAAACCAGGTCTAAACCAGGACTCACCGGTTACAGTGATGTTGATGGTGTCACTGCTCTCTCGATACTTGGATTCGCACCAGTAAATTCCAGAGTCATAATGTTTTACATTCATATGACAGCCCGAAATCCTGATCTTGCCCCATCCGGATCCACATCCTGATAAGTCCCCACTGAAATACACAAAGGTTTAGACAAGAGCAGAGCTACAGGAGCAGAGCCATAGGAGCAGAGCCACAGGAGCAGAGCCACAGGTGCAGAGCCACAGGTGCAGAGCCACAGGTGCAGAGCCACAGGTGCAGAGCCACAGGTGCAGAGCCACAGGAGCAGAGCCACAGGTGCAGAGCCACAGGTGCAGAGAGGAGCAGAGCCACAGGTGCAGAGCCACAGGTGCTGAGAGGAGCAGAGTCAGAGGTGTAGATAGGAGCAGACAGGAGCAGAGTCAGTAGAGCAGAGTCAAAGGGTTCGACTTTACAAACCTTTTGGTGAACCTCCACACAGTCCAGTCAGGTCCGAAGTCCTCGCAGCTCACAGACACATTGTGGTACTCCCAGAACTGGGCTACGTTCGGTGTCACCTTTACTGAGGCTGTAGAACAGAGAATCAACAAAGTCAGGGTTAACATAACAGATTCTTAAGGTGCGTTGACATTTTACCACATCCAAACTGGGACTAATCTAGGAATAAACATGGAACTAAACCTAGAGCAGACCAGAGCTAACCCAGCACCAGAGCAAGGCCAAACCAGTTTTACATGAACATTCAAACTAGGCCCAAATAATAATAATAATGATAATAATAATAATGCATCAGTTTTACATAGCACTTTCTGGACATTCAAATACTCTTTACAGAGCATTATTCATTCACTCCACACTCAGTCGTGGTAAACTACTATTGTAACCACAGCTGTCCTGGGGCAGACTGATGGAAGTGAGACTGCCAATCTGTACCATCAGCCCCTCTGACCACCACCATCACTCACACATCACTTTCTTTCTAGGCAAAGTGGGTGAAGTGCCTTGGATACAACTACAGTCAGTTTTTGCGACTGGCGCCCCGCTGTGACAGCTGATTTTCCCAGTCCCGGCCTTACTTAGCTTCTGAGATCTGACAGAATCAGGCTTTGACAAGCTGGTATAGTCATGACAAAAAAAAAAAAAAAAAACTTGAATGAAACAATCTTAATTAAAGGGTAATTTACTTGGACACAATAGTTAACTAAATAAATTACAGATAATGCTTCATGCATATATGCAATATAAAAATAGTAATGCTATTTTTTTTATATATATTAAACCAGGACTAAACTAGGCTTTTTTTGGTTTGATATTTTGTTGTTGTGTTACTTGGTCAATGATTTTCTGTGTTACTGCTACTTCCTCCACTACTCACCAACTTTGTGATACCAAAATTACTTGAGTTTCAGTTGAAACCAAAACTATAACAGGACTAAATCTTCCTAGTATCATTCATAGTATAAAAATATTTTGATAATCCACTTGCATCTCGAGGTGGAAAAAATTTGTTAAGGTTTAGTTGAGACATACCTCGACCATGGACAACTTCCCAGTTCACAGTCACCACCACTAAAAACAAAATTAAAGAAAATCTGATGGAATTGTACATTTATTAATAATATTTACATTTTGGGGGAGAAAAAATGTGAATTGTACTCACAGAGAATCAGCAGAATGCGCTTCATTGTGCAGCAGCAAGTCCGACTGAGGAAATCCTGTTCTAACCACAAATTAAAAAAACAATACAGATCACCTACCAAGATCTGGGTAAGACCATTTTAAGGGTTTGTAGTTCTGATTCAGCCCTGGTTGGTCTAGAACAAAACTGAAGTCAACCCTGACCTTGTTTAGTCTTAAGGGACAGAACAAAATGGTGGAAAAGAAATACATGAGTTTTGATGATAATGAAGTGATGATAATTAAGCTGTTTAGTCCAGTATGACCAGAATTATGTAGAGGTGAGTACTTAGTTACATTTACTTCAGTAACTTTTTTTAACTCCACAAGTAACAAAATGGCTTTATGATGACTATATTAAATTATTTTAAGTTGAATAATTGTATTTCTTGCACCACTCATTCAAATATAATTAGTGTTAGTAGATTTTATGTCTATCTTTTGAAAATACAAGATTTTATGCATTATTTTATGTTTTGTCCTTCAAAGTACTCTTGTTTAGGCTATTATACCCCCTGCAATATGGTTACTTTAAAATAATATTTTTAATGATAATAATGTAGAAAATCTGGCAAGCTATTTTATAAGAAATGATCAAAGCAAGATATGCCAACAATAAAGTGGGGAGGGGAAAACTTTTGTATTTTGTTATCTTGCTTTACAACGTATGTGTCTTGAGTGCCCTGGTTTTTATTAATTAATTCATAATTTATTGTCTAACTATTCTTATGTGTTTTTGCCTCAAATCAAATGAATCTGGACTTGTTGCTTGTTTGTTATTATTAATTCTGTTATTACAATTAAAACTGCATGTAAAAAACAATCAAACAAACAAACAAAACAAAACTAAACAAACAAACAAACAAAAATCCCGGGGTGGTCACCACTATTTTTAAAAGACGTGACACCAAAAAGGCCAGCGGGCCAGATGGGATCTCAGCTTTCCTGCTAAAGACTTTTGCTGATGAACTGAGCCAAGCATGGTGTCCCTTATTTCAAATTTCAGTAGATTCAGTGGATATACCTTTGCTCTGGAAAAAGTCTATTATCACCCCTGTACCAAAGAAAACCTGTCCTAAAGAGAACAATGACTTCAGGCCTGTGGCCTTGACATCAGTGACTATGAAATCATTTAAGCGTGTTATGGTGGGGTTTCTGAGGGAGGAGATAGCGGGTCATGTGGATCCCTATCAGTTTGCTTACTGCAGCAACAGAAGTACTGATGATGCTCTTGTAACTACTGCCCACTTAATACTGAAACACTTAGAGGATCTTTCATCATATACCAGAATATTGTTCATGGATTTTAGCTCAGCATTTATTACAATATTACCAAACATCCTGTTGAAGAAGCTGTTAGAGCTGGGTGTTAACAGTCATATTACTAAGTGGTATTGGGCATTCCTCACAGGAAGACAGCAGCAAGTTAAGGTTAATTCAATGCTGTCAGATATTCAGGTTGTCAGCACTGGGGCACCACAGGGCTGTGTTAGCTCACCTCTTCTTTTCACTTTGTACACCAATGTGTGCAGGAGTAAACAGGTAAACAACTATATACTTAAATTTTCTGATGACACAGCTATTCTTAGTTTACTCAGTAAAAGCACAGATGCCATCAGCTACAGGACAGAAATTTATGAACTGGTGCATTGGTGTGAGGAGCATAACCTTGTCTTAAATGTGGAAAAGACAAAGGAGATGATTTTTGACCCCAAATCTGTCGGGAACCACAGCCCTGTTAATATCAGGGGGAGGGACATAGAGCAGGTGACATGTTATAAGTACTTGGGTGTGTTATTTGATTCTCAGCTCCAATGGAGCCAGCATGTACAGACTGTCTGCTCAAGAATCAGCCAGCGTCTCTATTTTTTAAGACGGCTTAGGTTACATAGAGTGGACACCAATGTAATGCTGTTGTTTTACAAAGCATGCATAGAATCTATTTTACGCTATGGCATGTCAACATGGGTTGGTAACCTGTCAGTCAAACTTAAATCACAGATTTTTACCTTGACTAAAAGAGCGGGTAAAATAATGGGTGTGGCCCCAAGCTCACTTCAGCAAATTTTTGAGGAGACTGTTAGGAAGCTCAGCAGGAAGGTGATCAATGACCCAACCCATGTTCTTCACAGTCAGTTTGAGTTGATGCAAGGTATAGGGTCCCAAACTGTAAACTGAACAGATCCAAACATTATTTTGTGCCACTAGCTGTTAATCTGCTAAACTCAGATAGTGCAGTTAAAAAATAATTATAACAGGCTTAGGGAATGTGCAATCAAAACTGCACATAGGCTTAGGGAATGTGCAATAATTAAAACTGCACATAGGTTCAGGAAATGTGCAATTAAAACTGCACTTAGGCTCAAGGGGAATGTGCCATTAAAACTGCACATAGGCTTAGGGAATGTGCAATAATTAATAGAATACAAGAATGCAAGGGCTTGCCTGTTAAGAATAATTTAAAGGTCCTGTTGGTGCATCACTCGTGGTCATACTTGGTCTCATATTTACTTTGTTCTGTGGTGTTTGTTTATGTGGTGCTTTGTGTTGTGTTGTCCTGTTTTTGATAAAGCATGTTACCCCCTGTCCCAAGACAAATTTCTCCCATGGGAGACAATAAAGGATTATCTTATCTTAAAACAAAACAAAACAAAACAAACAGAAAATTCTGAACCAACCATCGTTGGCCGCTGGAGGCGCTGTCTGATCTGTTCCAGCGGAAGTGTCCACTGCAGAGTTGCCAAGTCTGCTTCTTTATATCAACTTTGTGTTTTATTATTATTATTATTATTATTATTATTATTATTATTATTATTATTATTATTATTATTTATTATTATAATAATAATATATATATAAATATCTATTTTTCTTTTATAAAGAAGCATTTTATGGAGCTAAATTATTCCCTGATTGTGGGAAACATGGACTGGCGTGGGTAGTGTTGTGTTTTACTTTTTGTTTTTCCTCGAGTGAAGCAGAAAAGAGGGAGCCACTGTCTGTGTGAATGTTCATGTATTATTATTATTATTATTATTATTATTAATAATAATAATAATAATAATAATAATAATAATAATAATAATAATAATAATAATAATAATTATTTATTTTATTTTATTTTATTTTTTGGAAAGTCACTTGTAAATTTTGGAGGCTGCGCTTTTTGCGCTTACTCCTGAACGGCACTTTTCACGGCATAAACCTGGAGATTTGGGTATTTTTCAGTTCAGTAAAGGCAAAAATTTTGACTTTACCAGATAATTTATTATTTTATATATTTCAGTTTTTATATTACATATGCTATAAAAAATATGCACATCTCATTAGCACATTCAGAGGAGACAAACATCAGGGACTTGGGTTTGCTTTTGGGGGGGCTTTTTTTTTTCAGTATCTGGCAACCGTGGTTCCTGTGCGTGCGCTCCGCGGGTCATCTGCTCCTGTTTTAGCCTCTTCTCACCGCTCTTCTCTCTGTTTCCCTCCGTAAACCCCCAAAACCTCAGGTAAAACTCACAGATGTGTTCCTTTTACACCCAGTCTTTCATCCCAGATTGTAATAAACATAAATTCAAACGATTAAATTAGTACAGTGCATGTGAAGTGTTAGCGCCGTTAGCTGTTGTGCTAACCCACCACTTCTAGCTGCAAATCAACTCCCCAAATGTGCATCTTTTACTTTTTAAACGTTCAGATGAATTTATTTTACTGAAATTCACACATTTAAAACTAACACTGGTTTAATCTGTGTTTGTTTAGGGACCGCTACTGTGTCGATATCAGTGCATTTAAATGCTAAATGCTAAAGATGCTATTGTTTTGTAGCTGTTCATTCATTCATTAAAGTTAATTATTTTGTGAAGATGAGATTCGTTTTTTTTAACCGAGGCAAGGTCCACTTGCTATTAACATAGTTGAAGATCTTATTTCAAAGATATTTACCCCAAATTCAAGAGAAGACACAAATTTACCGCAGATATCTGAACCGTCGACCAGTCGATATAATCGACTATTAATGTCATAATTACTAGTTTTCTGATTATTAATCATTAGAAAGACTGCGCAGACTCTAACACACACGTCAAATTTCAACCATAGCCGTCCTCTCTTTGATTATCCCTGTCCTTTATTATCCTTTTTAGTTCATTGTGTGTAAATGTGTGTTCTCTGAGCAGAGATGGGCGACAGTGACGATGAGTTGGACCGTAGGCGTCGGGATAAATTCAGGAGGGAGAGAAGTGACATGGAAAGGTCCAGAGAGCGAGAGGAGAGGAGGCGAGACGACTGGCCCGAGAGGTATTACTAGTCTATTACCAATGCTGTAAATAAGGGTCAAACTGCACAGATGAAGAGGTAGCTGTGAAATCCCAGCTCCTACCTCTGTGTACTGTTTTTGGACACGTCATGTTACCCACCTGGTTTGTGTATGAAGTTTTTTTTGAGGGAGTGATTGGTGGTGACATTTTGACATTTCACAAAATAAGCTGTGAAAACAAAACTGCATTTTTGTTGCTTAGTTAAAGTAAACATAGCATAGTTGGTTATCGACATATATTGCCATATCAAGGTATCCCATCACGAGGGACCCTGTGATTTCCAATCCTGATAAAAGTATAAGTGACAGTTATTGTAGTTATTAAATATGAAGAATTCCTCAAATGTGCTGGAATGAAATGATTCACATCTCCAGATTTTCAATACTTTACTTCTCATTTGTGTTCATTCTTTTGCACTGTGGTGTGTTTACAGACTACTGTGTTTTCTGTGGTGTGTTCAGGGACTGGGATCGTGGCCGTGAGCGCAGGAGAGAGTATGACAGAGGACGGAGGGAGCGCTTCTCTCCACCCAGACACATGAGCCCACAGCACAAACGTATGAGGAGGGACTGGTCAGTATAATCCACTGTGTACAGTCAAATAAATGATTAGGCTACTAAAGTTATGTCATTCAAATGTTGGTGTAGCTTCAGAGTTTCGAAGTGATGTCATCTGTAGGTTTTTCTATGTCCTGTAATGGGGTGGGCGATATCTCGATATTTTAAATATATCGAGATAGTTTTAAAACTCGATATGAATTCTGACATATCGTATATATCGATATAATGCTTATATTTAATTTTGATTTCGCTGCTTCGCTTGTTTATCTTCTCTCTCATCGCCCGCGCGCCCCTGCCTCCCTG